GGGGGGGGGGGGGGGGGTGTATGCAGAAAGACGAAGGTGATAAAACTGTTATTCTTTTGTTGTCTGCCAGGACGTGCTTTCACCTGGCGGTGGTTTTAGGCGAGGCCTGGAATAAACACCCCTATCCGCATCGACAAGTACACCCTCTGTCTGTCTTTCAGTGTTTTCTAGGCTTCTGGGCTCATCTATGCTACCTCACACCCCCTCAAACCCACCTCTCCAAAGCCACATAATGGCTCTCTACTTCATTAAAAAAAACTGAACTGAATTTGCTTTTTACATGCCTTACACACATACACACACATACACACATTGATACAGCAAAAGAAAAGGCCAGCAGCAATGATTCTACTACTGCAGTGACTTGTTCTGTGGTGGCTTAATTACGGGCAGATGTTAAAAAAAATTACAAAAGCTTCTTTCTGTTGTGCAAAGTCTCTGTGACGCCACATACAAATATAAACTCTCACACACACAGACACACTCATAATGCACACTGAAAGATAAGGAGACAATGGTGTATATAAAATATTCTACAGTATTTCCCAATCCATTCAGTACTTGCACAGTTACAGTAAAACACACATACACTGAAGAAGAAGCACAAAATGATGCATAAATTCAGGAATTTGTATGGTGTTAATGTTGATGATTTGTGATTAAAAAATGCAAATACACCTTTGACTGTTAGTTATAAGTGTACTAAACACAGTAGTCGTTCTACCTGTGCTTGGTGTATAAATTATTTTCAAACCTCAGTTGACAACTCAATTTTAAAAAATGGCTGGTGGCCAATATAAAGAAGAAAACACTACTCTGATCTGTTTACCCTTAAGTCCAACTCAATCACTTCAAGGTTTAATAATTATTCTCTAACCTCACCCATCACCTTCAACAAAAACCCCTAAATAAAGGTTCTCAACCTCCACTGGCAATCTTGTTTTGTGTCCTTTTGTACTTTCAGTATTGCTAAGCTCACAACATGCTTGTCAGTTTCTAACAAATCCTGTTCAATTTCTGAGCCACGCAGAAAATGAAGCTGTCTGGATTTAAGCGTGAATCACCAAGAATCCTTTGTCTGTTCTAAGTTTGTTCAAACGAAGAGTAGCAGTGTGGTGAAGTTGTTTGTCAATTTGTGTGTGAAGACTCTCACCTTTTCACCGTCTTCTGTGGAGGAGCTTTTAGCTTGTCAAACTCGTCTTTCTCCGAGTAGATCACCACGTTGTCTGAGAGAGAAGAAGAAAGGATATAAAGGCTTATAGGTGTTTGTTTTCCGCACAAATACAGAGATAATGCAGAGATAAAAAGTCAGTAACAATAACACTGCAAAATCCCAAAAGTTGTTGGTCCAACACCTGTCGTTTTATATATGACGTGCCACAGTATACTCAAACTTCTCCAAAGGTCTGCGGGATTAGTGTTAATTAAAAGCAAGACTCAAACACAAACAGTGGCCAATGTGACCACAAGATGCAATTACAGAAAAATGGCAACTTGAATTTCTCTTCTCATCTTGAGTCTTGAGTGTTTTTTTGTTACATACACAAGTTACATATTCTCACTTTTATTGTTAGTAAAAGTAATAAAGGTAATCAACCAAACAAATACCAAAATATCTTCTGGGTTATAGTAACAGCAATATTAAAGATGTAAATTCAGGAAAAATCTTATATCTGATTTTGTGGGCTCTGATCTTTTATCACTAAGCAAGATAGGATTAAACCTACACGTTTTAATAGCTGTTGGCATGAGTTTGAGCACACAAAGGAGAACAGATTCCTAAGGCTAAAAGGATGTACACCTAGAACAGAAGAACTGCAGTCAGAATGATGTATAAAATGATTACAGTGACTATTGTGTTAAATTACACTTACATCACAGATACTGATAGGGATAGACAGCATAATGAGTGAATACCTAAGTGGAACAAATGCTGTGTGTGTGTGTGTGTGTGTGAGAGAGAGAGAGAATTTAGGCATCTTTGTCTTTCACCTCACAGGCTTATTAACTCTGTGTGTCTCCATGACTGACAGCTAGCTCCGGTAGAGCTCCGAGCAATGGGCTTGTCTCCCACATACACACACACCAATGCACTCACACACACTCATTACGACTGAACATTAAGTAACAATGCAGACATTTATTTTAATTTATTTAATCATCCTGTGACTACTTTATTGTGTTTTTTTAGCTATTACATTATTAAGTTCACACCTCCTGTGTACAACATAATGTGTCTGTGGCCACAGATACGGTAGGTAGGTGTGTGTGTGTATGTGTGTGCGCGTGTGTGTTCTTATTCACACCACATGTAAGTGGTTAGTCAGTAAGTCTGGGAGTGAAATTGAACAGAGCATCATTGTCAGGAGAAATGGCGCCTAAAGCAACGTATGGCTTTAGCTTTGGAAGCCTCACATTCCACCATGATGTACTCATCAGGTTTGTCAGCCTACACACACACACACACATAATACACAAGCACACACTTAGATTTGCATGCATTAAGCTACAAATCATAAGTATGCACATACAAACCAGAATGAGACTTGGTGGCAGCACCGTATTAACATTTAGATCCAATTCAGTCAGATTTGATGAGATGATACGCTTTGTTTGATTCAATATATACTTATAGAATCAGAATTGAATTTGTTGTAGAAGGACTGATTGTAACATGAACTGAGAGTTCAAGTGTCCCATAATTCATACATACATGCTGCTCCAGAGACTCATCTGCCCTCACAAAAGCATGATTCTGAATGTAAACACTTTTTTTCAGTGGGGAATGGTTACAAACAGAACTGCAATTTGCAGCTTCAACTTGAAAAAAAAATCATTATCCACTGAGCCCAGAGCACCACAGGAAAGTGCCGCATAATACTTTTGGGGATTTATGCTCGTACACAGATAGCATACAGTGTTTGAGCTTACCAAATAAGCCAGACATACAGGTACCTGAATCTTGGTTAGAAAGGATTTTGCTGCAGGATTACATAAAATTACATACAGTGTTAGTCAAACCACTGCCGGGTGGTATCTGTTCATTGTATGCTACTGTATGTCACTGTGCTGTGACTATAATCTGGAGTCATTTTATAGTTGACAAAGCTAAAGGTGGGAAAAAAACTAATTATGGTTTGTCTTACTATAATTATGCAGCTTTGTGTGTCTTTGTACTATTCGGGGTGTACTTTTAAGTTTAAGTTTAAACTGTACCTGTTATTGAATATATATTTTGACTCTTGCAAGTAAAGTTTATGGGAACATGGTAATGATCAGTTGGTGACTGTAGGCCTGTTTATTTTTACAGATATGAAAACACTGAGAAAGAATGAAAAAAACAGATGAATACATGAATAGAGTTATAGAACTATACAGTGAAGCTACTGCAGCTAATTTTATTCTCAAGTACTGTTTACTTTTATTATCCACCCTTTGTTTAAGAATGAAAGAAACAACTATTTCTTCACTTAGTCTGGAGCTAAAAGTGGGAATTCCTCACTTGCTCCCAAGTATGCAAGTTATTAAACCTATATCATAACTTGTTTTCAATCTGCATCAAAGCCCTTATCCTGGTTTTGAAAAACCTCAATTATGCTAGATGGAGTACTGAGGCCTCAAAAACGTGGATAATGTTAGAATCATGTATACAAGGATATAAATAGCAAGATTACTTATGTTTCATGAAAACATCGTCTCCGGAATATAATCTAAACCAGGATACCAGAGTGCAAGTAATCAAACTCATTGTTTTTACTGCTAGACTCCTCATTATGAGCCAGAATACAGACTGGAGTTTAGTCAGGTTGTGAGAGACACCAAACAGGAAGAGATTAAGAGGTTTAGATGCTGTCTGAGCTCATTAATTATTAATGTGTGTGTGTGTGTGTCATGTCTCACCAGGGACATCTTTCTTGTCTTCCTGTTTGTTGGTCTGAGCTTCCACTGCCTTTACAACTTGTCCGGAACAACATGCTGCATACAAACACACACACACACACACACACACAAGGAATGTCATAAAACATAAATTAAAACCTTTCACGAGATTGTTTGTGTGTGTGTGTGTGTGTGTGTGTGTGTGTGTGTGTGTGTATGTGTGTATGTCTCTCACCCTGGCCACTCGGTTTGGCCTTCAGATGTAAGAAACATTGATGATGAGGACGGATGGCCGATTGCCAGATGAAAGCATGGTTGACATGGAAAGATGAGAGCCGTTGCCTAGGTGACCTTGTCCAGTGGAATGCTGACCATGGGAGATGATGTTGAGAGTAGTATTAAATGATTTGTGTGGTGTGGTGTGTGTCAGACAAAGGACAATGTAACTATGGATGGGGGTAACATTGAGATAGCATAAACCTGTCTGTGATTGATTTCTGGCCTGGTGTGATTTGGTATACCTTTTTGGGGATGGGAGGGAACACAGTAGTGCTAGCCAGGAATCAATTTAGGAGGTTTTTCTCCTTGCCTGCTGGTTCCATGCGGCCCTGTGCAAGACACACAGACACATACTTTCGATCCGTAGTTCATTACACTGTGGTTCGTCTTAGTGAACCATACTTTGTCTAGATGTTCGCTCATATATCCATTCTCAAGCAAAGCGCTAGGTCTACTGATCACCAGAGATAACAACACATTTCCAATACCTGCCTTGGCCAAATTAGAGGAGTCGGGTTCCATTTCAATTTCATGTGCATGTCTTTGGAGTGAAACATTTTTATGCAAAAATTCCCACAAACGCAGCCTAAGCAGATGGATTTAGATAAACTTTGAATGAAGGAGTCAGGCAAAATCTGAAATTTTTTGATTTAAAGGAACCCTAGGTTTGACATTTCTGGGCGGAAACATTTTTGGGCTATAAGCATGGTCTCAAGTTTTGTGGCCTAA